AAAACGTGGATCTTGCCTTCTGAAAGTCTATATCCTTTTTGTTGGGCAGCTGCATCTGGGAAGGTCTCTCCCTGCGCACTATGTGAAACCTGAAACTGGATGGGAGAGGGTTCTTGACTCTGATCCAGCAAGAATTCTCAAACAGGTTGGAGGAGTATAGTTAAGGAAGGAATTTGTTAAAGTGAGAGTGGTAGTGAATGGCAGCAGCTATACAGGCAGTAGAGAGCAAGGGAGAACAGAAGGAGAAAAGAGAAGTTCATTGAACTCCTGCTCAGCACAGGGTAAATCCCTTGTCAACTTCTGAAGACAGAGTTAGCTGGCATCTAGTGTCCACTATACTGTGCATGGTATGTGAACTAAGCCCTTACCACTCCAGGATTTGGGGGAGCTCCAGGGCACTGGATGGAGTGAGATTATGTTGTGAGAACTTCCCAAAGACAAAGAAAGAAGACTTGGGGGCTGCTAAGGAGCATGATCATACAGCTGCAGTATTGTCTGGGTCACCCAGGCTGAAGGCAAATTCTGGCATGCTAAGACCCCCACCCCTTAAGATCCAATCACCAACGCAGAACACACCCTACCCCTACTCCTTAAAAACGTGCTTCCTTACCCACGAGCTGCTGCTCCCTCTCTCTGGGGGCAACCATTTTCTCTTTCAGATAATAAAATCTCTTGCATGGGCCCGTGTCTCCTGAGTTGTTCTGGGGTAAGAAGGGTCGCGGCAAGGTACCCTTTCACAGGCAATGGGAACTTGCAAGTCCAAATCAGAGATCTTAGTAGTCTTTCCCTACTTGTCTGAAGTAGAACAAAGAGAATGAAGACTAGTGCTCAAGTCTAGAAAATGGAATGAAGTAGTGAAGTAACAAAGATGCTTACCACTGGAAGAGCACAGAGGTAAAACAATTAAGTTAAGCAGTGAAAAGTCTTTATTTAAGGAAAAGTACACACTCAAAGGGGAGTGAAGGCAACCTCAGAGAGGAGGTATGCTTAAAGGCTTAGGATTCTGTCTTTCAAGGCTTTCAGGAATGGGGCAATGGGCCAAGGCTGGTGGGAAGCAGGCTTGAAATGTGGTCTCGTGATGTCTACCTCTGGTGAGAGACATTATGTCACCATCCATAGTCTGTCCTTTTGATATTCTGTAAGATAAATTTAACACAAGGAATTTCTTGATCCTGTTCCTCTTCAAGATAGTGGTTACCCTCAAGCAGTGAGGACATATTATTTAGGACTACTTGCCCTGCCTTAGGATAGGATAGGTTATTGGGTGATTACTGTAAAATACTGTAAGTTAGGAATCTTACCTCCTAACTCCCTGGTTTTTAAATGGAATCTTAGCCTTAAGGTGGAGTCCCTCCTGCTCTTACTATACTAATTTTTATCTTGGCATTTTCATATGACTTATCATCATAGGCAGGAAAAATTAATCATGATGCTTATTCCATGTCCCTGCCCTACCTTGGGATGGTAAAAAAACCATTTCTCTACCCCTGTGTTTTATGGTGTTATAGGTGTATAGAGGCATTATCTTCCCTAGCTCCCAGTGCAAACGAGCCAGTGGCAGAAACTGAGAGCAGCATTCTCTTAGTTTCGTTTTATAAATATCATAATTTTCCTTTTGTGTCAAGATGGGGAAAAGGTTGAAAAGCATTGGAGGTGGCAACAAGACACATACCAAATTACTCTAATAAAATGTAGAAAGTGACATATAAAAAAAGATTAGATTATAAAGTATGTGTTTGGAGGAAGGTGGCATTAAATCTAGAAATTCTAGAAATATTAAGAGGGGTCACATTTGGGATAAACATAGAAAGATGAGTAGGATTTGAATGCTCAGAGAAAGAGGGGCAATTGGTAGGAACTATTTCAGGTGAAAGGCACAGGTAGGATTTGGGAAAGGACTGGGATCTATTAATACCTATTAATTTGCCTGTCTGTATATCATGTGATATTGATTAACATTTATGATAATAGTAATTATGGTACTACAAAATTCAAAGTGTCTTGTAAACTGCCAAAGTTTAAAAAACATTTTATATGATTCTAATGCTCAGTATGTGTTTTAATTGCAAACATACTATAAAGTTGCATATTTTTAGGGTGAGTTGATGGTGAGGGGTTTGGTTATGAAAAATTAAAGTCAGTGAATAAAGCAAAAATTACAGAGTCACAATTACCCTTGAAAATTGTTTAAAATTCCAGTAAGGTCTAGAAGGTGTGTTTTTATAAATACTGCCTTATGTAATAATTCTTGGGCACACTAACTTTTAAAAAAAAAAGGTAATCAAGTACACATGGTGTGTGTGGTGTCACAGGGAAGACAGTGTAACACAGAGAAGACAAGTAGGGACTCGGTGGCACCTTACTACACTGAGGGACAGTGACTGCAATGGGGTATGGGGGGACTCGATAATAAGGGTGAATGTAGTAACCAAATTGTTTTTTTTTGTGAAACCTTCATAAGAGTGTGTATCAATGATACCTTAATAAAAAAATAAAATAAAGGTAATCAGAAGAACAAAAAGCAGGGGAGGAGCCTATAGGCAGATGTTTGGGCATCAAAGCTATTTTACATGTAAAATGATTATCAAATTCCTAAGTGGCTAATGGTTGAGGCCTAAATTCTGGTGCTACTGTTTGCCTGCAGAGCTTCCTCCTTTTGGTTTGATATAAGGAGTCTATGTATAATACATACATACATATAGATATATACACACACACACACAATTTATATATATATACACACACATACATATATCTACATATATCCTCTTATAACTTTAATATATATGAACATGTATAGCAACTATATTTCAATTAAAAAAACCTAAAAAATATATGTACATGAACAGATTGGTGATGGTGAGTGTATGTGTGTATGTGGTAGCAGAGGACAGTAAAGCAGAAAGTGAAGAGGTCTAAGTACTAAAGTCAGTGAACACTACATGCAAGTTTAAAATTATGTAATAGAAACGAATGGGATTTTGTGTCTATAAAAGTTAGAACTCCCTTGATTGAAAGTAATAGAAATCCACCTGAGTTAGTGTAAGCAATTAAAGAAAAGGCTAGGGTGGGGGCTGGGAGAGTTAGAAGGCTGTGGGTGTATCCACACCTAGGTGTTGGGATACAACTAAGCCTCAGGAATGAACTGAACCAGGAATCTGAATGTGCTGTTTCTTTTGGTATGTGTGTGTATCTAATCATTCTCACCTCCCTCCCCTCTCTTTCTCTATTCCATCTCTTTCATGACTTTGTATTTTATTTTCAAAGGGGTGAAGGGCTTTTAACAATGGTAGGATTTACTGCTGCTATTTAACCATTACTTTACAGAGAGATAATAGAAATATTAAGGAACTATCTATTCCTGTTTACTGAGGTTCTGTTTGTTAAGAATTGCTAGCTCTTTATTTATTTTCCTTTTATATTGTGGTATAACTTAAAGTACACAAATCTTAGGTGTATAGCTTGATGAATTTTTATGTAATTACATTAGATCAACACATAGAACATTTCCAGCATCCCAGAAACTCCCTCTCCCCAATTAATGCCATTCCAAAGGTAACCATTATTATCAGTTTATTTTTAACCTTTCTTCATCTCAGTTCACAAGATGGTTGGAATGATAGAGTGAACAAAGAAATTGAGTGCATTCAGAACTGCAGTAGACATTCAATAATGCATGGCCAGAGAAAGAACATAGTGAAGATAGTAGCTTTTAAGTATTTTTTAAACATGTAAAAAATACAGTACAAACACTTTTTTAACACCATGACCCAGGACATACTTATGTCTCCACAGTTATAAATGAGATCAATAAGCAGCATGACTTCCTCTGATTCACCAGTCTATGAGTGAAAAACATAGCCACTAAGAGCTATGCTATGAGCATCTTGTGAAACAAGCCAGGCTAAATCTGGAGTTCTAGTCCCAAATCCAAATTCCTGGGAAAGGTATCTTATTGTTCCAGTCTGAGTCAGGTGTCTGTTACTGGACAAACTTACTATAGTCAGGGGCACGGGCTCATGCTGCCTGAGACCGATAACTGAGAGCATGCAGATCTGCTGGGGAGCAGCAGTCCCCAGAAAAGGAATGAGCTAGGAAGATAGCCTAGGAGGTTTTATTATTGTGCCAAATCTGACTTTGATTCTCAGGCTCATCATATATACTTGCTCTATGATACTAGAAAAATTATTTAATCCATATAGTGAATATATACTGTTTTCTTAGTCTGTTCCAAAAAATGTGCTAAGTTCTTAGTAAATAATAATATATACCTTTCCTCAAGAAACAGCTTTATTCAGCCGTAACTGACATACAATGAACACATATACACACATATGAAGGGTATAATTTTGTAAGTTTTGACATATGTATACACCCATGCAACTAGTACCACGATCAAAATAATGAACATATCATAGACTCTCATGCCCCTTGGTAATCCCTTCATCTGCCCCACCCCATTTAGCTATTATTCTTAATTCTTCAAATAGGTCCTGTAATTCCTTATAAACACAAGCTTGATTCTGTCCGCTTTTGAATGTGACCTTTTGTACTACATTTCTAAATTGGCATTGTTGTTTAGGAAAGCTATTTGTCTAGCTATTTTATTGAACTTATTTCAATTCATTCCTCTGGGTTTTCCAAATAAGCAATCATAATACCTGAAAAGAATTTTTTTATACACACACACACACACACACACACACACACTTGCTGTTTTGTTTTATTTTGTTTGGCCTCCCTGGTTGAGTTAAGACCTTAGGAAAATGCTGGCTAGCAGCAGCAGGCCTACTCCTAATAACTTCAGAGCACAGGGAAAGAGTATAAAAAAAGGTCTACACATCATATGTCTAAAGATCTAAAGATTATTAATCAGGTTAACAAATGGTTAGATTAAACACTCTATCCTGCAACTCTGATACACCCAATTTACAGCAAATATACATATAACAATCTAGAATGCTAAGGTCAAATTTAGAATTCTTGAGTGCCACACTTACCTGTTGTAATCGAGGTAGCTTTTCCAGAACTTAACTCAAGTGACCTTTACTTCAAAAGATCTTGTTTCACTGATACTTGCATAAAAAACATTTTCCCATGGTATTGACAAATAATTTTTCTCCTTGGAATTATATTTTTTAAACACCTCATTCCTAGAGCAAAACAAACATCAGCATTCATTTTGCCCATAAAGAAATCCAAATTACTTAGTAGTTTTGTGCTTATTTTAGAAACTGCTTTTCAAGGCTTTCTTACAGGCCCCTTAATCCTTCTTGGTTCACAATTTCTAGCCTTATCTACTTTCACTGAAGGATCCTAACACTGAGTTTCCTTAGCTATGGCTTGAACATCCTTAGGACTTCTCAGGACAATATCATTGGTGGATACATTCAAAACAAGTCATCTGAATATTCAGTCATCTGAACATATAATAAAGGTTGCATCAAGAACTCAGGTCATCCAGAGAGGAGGATCGGAGACCAGGACAGGGTTTCAAAGTCAGCCAACTGCTTGTTCACTGGTAGCAGATGGCAACTTGAAAAACTTGATAAGGAAATTAGGAAACCCAGTTGGAGTTACAACTCTGTCACTAACTGGCTGAACTGGAGTGAGTCACTTAAAATTTTTTGTTGAGCCTCAGAGTAATTATCTATAAAATTGGGATAAGGACATTGGCATTAAGGGCTCAACCAGCTTTGGGGGAAAAACACAACTTGCCAGAGCTTCAATTTATATGCCTGTTAAGAGTTAAGATAAAACTTGTGCCCTGCACACCTCATAGTGCTTTGGAAGGTGAGAGGGAGAAAGCGCAACCTATCTGAGCTTCAGTTTCTACTTGTGTAGAGCTAAGAATACAGGGCCAGCATGCCAGTAATATTCCTGGAAGAAGAGGAAATTGGGCGGAAAAACTTCGCAAAATGTAAAAGGCTATACAAATGTGAACTGTCACATACTTAAAACACAATGAACAGGCTAAAGAGCATTCGTGCGCCTCTTTCCTCCTAGCTCCAACGTGACAATCCCATAAAGTAAACAGACTACTTTTTAATAAGCCTGTCGCGACTGGGAACGCAAACCGCATGTGTACTCACCGGAGTCCCGGCCACACCCCACGAGGCCCAGACTTGGCGAGAGGGGGCGTGGCCCAGCCCGGCCAGCCCATCGCAACGACCCGCCCCGTCGAACCGCGCCTGCGCCGTACACACCGACCGGCCTCTGGCGCCCCGGCGGGAGGTAAGGGATTCGCGCTAGGCCGTCTTGCGGGTGTCAGGCCCTCACGCGCAAGGTGGGCTGGGCGCCGACTACGCGGGCGGGAGAGGCGCCCTGCGGGAATCGGGCACTTAGGTCGGAAGTGCGAGCGCCGTTAGGGGCATCTTCGGGCCCAAAGAAGTGGTGGTTTCGTTTTTGGCAGTCCTATTCGAAGCGGGTACAAGGAGGCGGCCGACGGGACGAGCGTGATGGCTTCCCGGGGTCGCGGGGTTGAAAAGTTTACTGCGCCTGCCCTTCCCGTGGCGCACTGTGGGCCCCAGGTCGTCAGGGCCGCCGGCGTCTCTGTCCCGAGACGCGCCAGTGCATCCGTCCCTGGTGGGGGCGTTTGGTGTGTGTGGCTCGGGTGCGCTGTGGGTGACACTTTGAGGGATACCGCGAGACTAGGGGTCCTGAGAGGAGGACCGGGAGCCAGAAGTCGGAGTCTCCTGTCAGACCCGGAGGTGGTTCACAGACGCTGCCACACCTAACGCCCCCCGCCCCTTTTACAAATTTGGAATCGGAGGCCAGGAGAGGAAACCATATGGTAGGACCAAAAGCCCTGCCTTTCAAAATTCAGTACCCTGTCCCCCAGTCAGAAACACGGGGCGATGTGCCTGAGGAATTCAGTGGGGAATTTCCTCAGTGTGGGGAGATACGGGATCTCTAGGCTGATGGAAGGTGTTCATCACTTTGCTGGGGGATGGAGAGCGTGTGCCAACCATTTTTTGCTTTTTCTGGGAAATGGGTCTTTTCACTTACAAATAACCTTTGAAGTGATTGAGTTAATCTCCTAGTACTTTTTCTTCGTTAGAAACATGACTGACTATATGGTATTCAGCTGATAGTAGTTGTATGCACCAACGATAAAGTTTGTAAAAGCACCTGGTGACCCCCAAGCCCCCTAGGTGTCAGTGCAGTGAATATGATTGCAGTTCGTTGACTTACAAATATTTGACCCTATATGAAACATCAATTCATACAGTTTTTAAAGATTTTTTATGATTTTGCAGTTACAGAAAAATTAAAGTCATAGAGTTCTTTACAACTTACTTTAATGCTAACACCTTATATAACGTACAATCATCGAAAGTAAGAAATTAACATCTGTGAAATACTGTAGATTACGAACTTCCCTCAGATTTCATCATTTTTTTAATACTGTTTCCCCTTTTCTGTTCCAGGATCCAATCTAAGATCCCACAGTGCATTTCATTGGCATGGCTCTTTAGTGTTGTACATTCTTTCACGACATTTATACTTTTAAAGAGTGCTGGTTAGTTATTTTGTGTCTCTCTGTTGAGTTTTGCTGATGTTTCCTACTGGTTAAATTAAGGTTATGCATTTATGTTGATACCACAGAAGTGTATGTGCCCTTCTCAGTTCATCATATGAGGAGGTACATATGATACAGTGCTTTTGATATTACTCTTGACCACTTTTGCTTAAGATGGTGGCTGCTGGGATACTCTAACTTTATTCTTTTTTCAATATCTAATTATATTGATGTCTTGGGGGAGAATTTTTGAACTATGCAAATATCTTGTTTCTCCTTAGACTTTTCACTTGCTGACTTTAACATCCATGGATGGATTTTGCCTTTAATAATTATTGCAGTGATGTTCTAATGGTGATTTTCTGTTTCTTTCATTCCTTCTTTATTAATTGGAGTTCTTCTGTAAGGAAGAGCTGCCCCTTCTTCCCATTTATTTAGTCAGTTATTTATTTGTATCACTATGGGCTCTTTATTTTTGTATCGGTTATTGTCCTACACTTGTATTATTTATTTTATGTCTCAAATTGTTCCAGTTTTGGCCATTGGGAGTTTTTTCAGGTTGCTTTCTGTACCCTTTTGACAGGCCCCCAAACTTTTTTGAGAGCTTTCTTACTTTCTGGCACCATAAGATGCTCCAGGCTTATCTTGTGTTTTCCCTGCCCCAGCTTTGGAATCAGCCACTTCTCCAAGGACCCCTGGTTTCTTTTTTTGGAGAGTGGTATTTTAATACTAGGATCTGGATACTAGGTGTATTCACTGCTATTGAGATATCATTGCTGCTAGTGCCTGGCAGAAGACAACTATATATGTATATACACACAATTTATATTGATAAATTTTATAAGTAAATTTATTTAACATATTTACATATTTATTTATATACACACACATTCCATGCCGATAGATATATATGCATGAACACACACACACATATATATATATCCATGCATGAAGATTTATATTTTTGTATCAAGTTGTGTACATACACATACATATGTGTGTGTATTTTTTTAAACAAAAGTTCATTCTAGTGCTTCTGATTCTAATCTAACATCACAGGGTTCATTCTACTCTTGCCCTTTATTTGTAACTTCTTTCTTCAACAGTGAGAAATCTAGCTTTTGTGTTCTATAAAGTATTTCCTTATTTGTTCAGTCCTAGTATACACATAAAGTAATTTCAGGATTTCTAACCCATACTTCTGTGAGAAACAAATTAATTACTAGAGTACAGTACAGTAGTTCTTTTTGTCTTTAGTCTTGTAGTATCCAGTTAAAATACTGTTTTCCAGAATTACCTAGATTATTTTCTTCCCCCACTTCTTTCAATGTGGTTATGCTATTCATTTGTAATACAGTTTATTTATTTTTTATAACTTGTATTCCATTTTGGGTTCCCCTATATCCTGTTGTTTAATTTACAAAAATTCACTCTTTGTGGTGTACAGTTCTGTGGGTTTTGACAAATGCATATAATTGTATCTACCACCACTGTAATGATATAGAACTGTCACCCCAAATATCCCATTAAAACATTTAATTTAATGTTTTAAAATATTTTCAAAATATTAAACTCTACAGAGGTTTGAGAAATTAGGCATTTTGTATATTCTGTCTTTTTTACAGGCATATTTTAAACAGTTGTGATGTTAACGTAAATGCATTTTTAATCCTCTTAATTATATCAGAAATATGTTCCAATTTTCTGACTGAAAATCAGGAAATGCTGAAATACTTTCACTCATCATTTAATCACACTTTTAAACAACATTTTGCATATTGAATTAAGACCTTTCCTTAATAGCTTACAAACATTATTTGAGCTATTTTGTGATCAAAGCCATCTCTGGACAACTTTCTGCAGCATCATGATTTATGCAATTATTTGAATGTTATGTTATCTTTTTAGTTTTATATAGGCGTTTTATTATAATTTTATAAAAATGGAAATGGTAAAGAGAAGAAAAAAGTACTGGCCAAAAGGAGACCAAAAGTTGGGAAGGCAAAGGCCTCTTGGGAGTTTCTTAGGGCAAAATGTCTTCCCTGAGAGAGAGCTTTTATGAGGCAGCAGATTTGCCTTGGGAATGGAAAGCTGAGGGCATGCATAACTCTGACCTGGACATACTACTTTTGAAACTCAAAAAAGAAAGCTATCTTTATAGCACAGAAGAACAGTGAAAACAAACCAAATATTCAAAATTGTGGTCTGTTATGTATACAATAAACTGATAAGTGGAAGAGAAGGAAGAATAATTTGATTTGTATATAAACATAAAGTTTTGAGGCAGATGGGATATAAAAAAGTATCTAGACAGAGGGAGCATCACTGTAAATCCAAAAGTAGAGATTAGGTCATAATACTTAGGTAGATTGGGTGTATTGCTTTATGAACATTGTGTTTTCCTGTTCAAATAATAGGGAACTGTTGGGAGTTTTGATTCAGAGAAGGGGCATGTTACAGTTGGTGTTTCAGATATATTAATTGGTGGCAGTCTGTGGGGATAAAATTGGAGAGGGGAAAGAATCTAAAGACAGGCCACACTTGTAATATGCTATGCATATTGTGCAGTTTGAGTAGAGTGAATAGATTAGAAAAGGTGAAGGAGGGACATGTGAAGAAAAGTTTAGTTCCATTAGCATCTATTGAGTGCCAGATTATGTTCAGAAACATTTTGATAGGAATGGTGGTAGATATAAAGATACCTTCTTATAGTATATAATATGCATAGCAGAACAAAATATAAAGCAATGTGATAGACTGGGAAACATTAACATTAGACAAATAATTCATAGTTTATGAGTCTATTATATGTTAAATATAATAGAAAGAATTCCCTATTGTAAAATAGACTCATGGCCTGAGCAGTCATTTCATGAAAGAAATGCAAATGGATAATAAAGCAATCCATTTGTAATTAAATAATGCAAAATAAAATGGTAATGAGACACCATTTCTGTCACCAGTTGAATGTCTAAGAATGATAATATCAAGCATTGATCGGGGTATGGATAGACAGACATTTTGATATATTGCTGGTGTGAATGTAAATAGGTACAGTTGTTTTGGGAACATTTGTTATCAAAGCCTTAAAAGAAGTGTGTACCTATTCTTTTTCCAGGTATTTATTTTAAAGGGCTAATTATAGATGGTAATATGGATTTATGTACAAAAAGGGTAATTGCATTGTGGTATAGTTTGTAATAATGGAAAATTGGAAACAATCTGAATAGCCAACAATATTGGTTAAATTGTGAAACATCTATAATATAATACTTTGTAAAGTTAATTTACATGGAAATGTTTTTATTGTACTTAATCAGGTTATTCAAAATCAGTGCTTTCTTGTCTTTGTTCTTTAATTCATTTATTCACCCACTGATGGTATACTTCATAATATTTGTTGCCCCTTACCATCTCACTTCTTTGGGTTTATTCACTTTATTGTTAAAGTATACCTTTTAGTAATTCTCTTAGTGAGGGTAATTGGTATAAACTCAGTCTTGGTATATTTGAAATGATTATTTTGCCTTCACTTCTGAGTAATAATTTGCCTGGGAATATACCAGCCCTCAGTACTTTGAAGATATTTG